CCCCCCCCCCCCCCCCGCCCCGCCTTCCTCTCTCTCTGCACCCCTACTTTCTCTCTCACTACCCACCCCTGTCACCCTTCCTCGCCCTGTCTCTGTCCGTGTCCCTGCCTCCACCTTCCCGACCCCCCCCACCCCAGGCTGCTCACTGTGTCCTGGCAAACAGTCCTGGGAATGAGGAGCTGGTTCGCTTTTACTGTCACACCCAGAGAACCATCAGCAAGCGGCTGGTCCTTCGCCAGTGAGTCCCCTGGGGGGTGGGGAGAGAGGGAGAGCGCAAGCTGAGAGCACATGTGTGTGTGCGTGTGCGTCTGTGTGCGTGTGTCTGTACGTGCGTGTGTCTGTACGTCTGCGTGCGTGCATCTGTGCGTGAGCTGTGCGTGCGTGAGCCTGTGCGTGCGTGTGTCTGTGCATGCCTGTGTGCGTCTGCGTGTGTCTGTACGTCTGCGTGCGTGTAAGTCTGTGCGTGTGTCTGTGCGTGCCTGTGTGCATCTGCATGTGTCTGTGCGTCTGCGTGCGTGTGAGTCTGTGCGTGAGCCTGTGCGTGCCTGTGTGCATCTGCGTGCGCCTGTGCGTGCTTCTGTGCGTGCGTGAGTCTGTGCGTGAGTCTGTGCGTCTGCGCGTGCCTGTGTCTGTGCGTGTGCGTGCGTGTGTCTGTGCATTCCTGTGTGCATCTGCATGTGTCTGTACATCTGCGTGCGTGTGTCTTGTGCGTGAGCGCATGTCTGTGTGCGCGTGCGTTTGTGCGTGTGCGCGCGCGTGTCCGTGCGCGTGCATGTTTATAAGTGGGAGTGGGAGACCGTGAGCACATTTACTGTTCAGTGGGGGACATGGGGGTGGGGATGGGTGGTGTTCAGCGTCGTTTTGAGTGTCAGCGTTGTGTGTGTGTGTGTGTGTGTGTGTGTGTGAGCTTGAGGGGGGGGGGGGGGGGGGGGGGGGGGGGTGTGTTATGTTGGGAGGGGAGGGGGTTGGCGCTGGGGTTGGCGATGGAGTCGGTACCTGGGTACATGTGCCAGGGGTAACTGGTACCTCTTGATTGTGACTCTGCAGGGACCCATCAGTGAAACGCACCGTCTGCAAAAGGTGCTCCGCACTTCTCGTTCCTGGCATCACCGCAACTGTGCGGCAGAGAGGTCAGTTCCCCAGCGCTCGGGGCCGAGGAGAAACGCCGCGAGGGGAGCGCCTCCCCGTCACTTCAGTCCTACACTGTGTCCGTCTCCCTCCAACAGTGCGGGGCTCCCTCAGTACTGGCACCGGGAGGGAGGGAGGGAGGGAGGGAGTGTCGGCCTGGATAATGGAGCTCAGGTCTTTGAGTCGTACAGCGTGGAAACAGACCCTTCGGCCCATCTCCCTGTCCGTACCGGCCCCAGATACCCTAAATTAACCCGGTCCCCGTTTCCCCAGCATTCGGCCCCTATCCCTCTAAACCCCTTCCTATCCATGTGCCCATCCAGAGGCCTTTTAAAATGTTTGTAACTGTACCAGCTCCCCCCCACCCACTTCCTCATTCCACCAACCCCCACCCCCCCC